TTTGACACTCCCCTGTAACATGAATGTGGGCAGTAGACTAGAGGTAAATGGAGACTATTTAAGAAATGTAAGTGTAAACAGCAGAAAAGACAATGGAGCAAATCATTCATGATAGAAGCCTCTTAAAGTCAATGGATTAATATCGGATATGAATTTGTTTCAGTGTATCTTGAAGAGATGCAGTCCACCTAGGGGATATACATCTCCACATAGATATGAGTAGGTAGTAAGAAGGGGAACTGAGAATTTTCTTAAATATATGCACAAGCAAATTCAGCAAATATTTGAGAACCAAAAAACTAATAAAGCATATGGGGAACTACTTGTTGCATGATTCCCCTGATTCAGAGGCTCTTGATCACTGCATTGCATACTCCTTACCCCAGCATCTCCTTTTTTCCACTGTATTCCAGTTTACTATGCCATACTTGTTCATGCAGCTGTTTGCCTCCTTCATCTGAATGGTTTTTCTTTTATCCTACATTATAGTAGCAGCAGCAGTATGGAGACCCTACAGAATTACCAAAAGACAAGTCCCAAAACTGCATTTTTTCAAGCCTAAAGATTTACATGAACAAATTTTGTTGGGTTTTAAGGTTTGAAAAAAGAAGTCCAAAGGAATAGAAAATGATCATGTACCAGGGGTTGGCAGCATTGTTGGCTGGAGTGACATAAACACCCAAACCCTGAGCAATGCCTCGACCTGAAGAGCCACTGGCAGACAACGAGGGAACTGTGAGGGGCCTGATCCTTGTTGCTGGGAAGCTGGAGCAGGTGACTGGCAAACCGCAAATAGCTGCACCAGGCTCCAGAGCCCTTGTCCAGGTTTCCCGGCAGTGTGGATGCACACGTGCCTCCAGGCAGACAGCAGGGGTGGGACTGGGGTTGGGCTGCCCTGGGCCCCTCCCCACTGTGTGGCTAGAGGCGAGCATGTACCCACTGCCACCATGGAGCCAGTGCCAGGGCTCCAGAGCCTGGTGAAGCTGCTTGCAGTTTCCTGGCTGCAGCCGACCTGGGTTCTCAGCTGCTGCCAGCCATGGATCCCAGGGTGCTGGCAGCAGGGCTTGCAGCCTCCCAACCCCCTGCTACCAGTAGTCTGGGCTCTGTGGCTGGTGGCAGCTGCCCAGAGCCTAGGCCAGCTGTGGCATGCCAAGTAAAATGGCCTCACATGCCATGCTCTGGCTTGCATGCCAGGGGTTGCTGACCCCTGTCATATACCAAATTTTGAAAAAAAAGGGGAGACCAAAAGCAATGTTAGCATTACTGCAGTGACTTTCTCCTTGTTACATTATATAAAAATCTATCTGTGATACATTTATCTATACTTACTTCTTACACAGAGAAAATAGTAGGACACTGTCAGAGTGGATTCTGGAAAACTAGGCTCTACTATGGATCATATACTTCCAATTTGTCAGCCATTAGAGAAAGGATTGAAATATAATCAGAACATGTACAAGTTTTAGATTTTAAGAAAAATTATGATAGCCTATCATGACTTCGCTTCTAATGCCAAGATGAAATGAGGGGCGTGTGTGCACAACACTTTAAAGCAGGCTAAATGCTTTTGCACCGCTTTAATTGTGCCTTGGCGACATATTGCGCATTAATTCCAGCTGCTGTAGGAAATTCAGCAGTGTAGTGCATCTTGAATGACTTGGGGTGCAGCAAACTAAAACTCCTTTGAGGAGTTTTAGTTTGCTGCCCCTACAGCCATGGAGCAAAGCACCGAGCTCTGTGGCTCTGCAAGAAGCCCATGCAGGCAGCCTGGCAGCAGCCCAGGAAAGAAAAGCATCGAGCCTGATCTTTTCCCTCCCCCCTGCCTGGAGCCTGCCTGCCTGCCTGAGCTGCATGGGGGCCCGGTGCTTTTCTCCACAGCTGCTGTGACCCCCGGGACCACCCAAGGCAGGTGCCTGGGGGCGGGTGCCACGTGGGGGGGCGCCGCTGCTGCCATGGAGGGAAGCACCAGCGCCCCCTCCCCACAGCAGCTCACCCTCCCTTCCCCACCAGAGAGGCAGGTAAGTCAGCGGGGTGTGTGTATGACACCACTACAATTTAGGGCCCCTGTTTTGTTTACACCTGCCCTAGGACACAAGGAAGGAACTTGAAAACACTGATATGATTATAGGATGGTATAGCTGTGTGTCTCTGGCTCAAGAAACAGAGTATGAGTAAGAAGTGAAATCTCTGCCCCTATTTGACATTGGCATAGGTTTAGAGAATGGAGATGCCTTATCCTCATCATTCTTCAATGTGTCAAGGGAACACCTGATATGATCATTGCAAAATTCTCAGCATGGCTCAGACTGAACTGACTTTTGGAGTATGTTGATCTGGTTTCCACTGGAGAGACAGAAGATATGGTGCATGAGATGACTGGAGACATGATGAAAACAAGAAAAACAAGACTTAAAATCAATTAAAACAAAAACCAGATACATTGTGGGCATATCTACACATGCAGTTACGCTGGCTTAAATTTACCGTACAGTTATGTACTACACAGTAAGTGGAAATAGACTGGTGTCTACACGTCCAGGCATTAAAGCGCATTAATGCTGTGTGTGAACTGACTTGGGACTAAAGTCCCCACACATAGTGTTATTGCGCACTAAGGTGTCTACACGTGCATTACTGAGCAGTAACTAATTAGGCATAAATTTGATACCTGCATGATGCAGGTATCAAATTTACACTTAAGTCGGTGTAAGTCACTATATTTACTGTGCAGTATGAGCGTGCACATGTAGATAAGCACCCATACTATGCAGTAATTTCAGTTACTGCTTAGTAAATGTGCACATGTAGACATATCCTGTGTGTTACCAAGAATACCTTGCAGTTAATAATTGTAAATGTCAGCAAGATAGTTTAAATAACTGGGAGTATTAATTACCAATAACAATATGATAAGAAAGGAAATTAAAGGCATGGGTAGAAGCAGAAATGTCTGTTACTTTATTCTGAGAGAACTTCTGTTGAATAAAATCTAATAGAGAATTGAAGGAGTCTCTGAAAAAACAGGTATACTAAGAGCAGTAAAATTCCAACTGCTGTAGTGGGTGGCGCATGTAGCTAGAGTGATGGAAGACAAACCAGGTAAGCATTCCTTGGAAAAACATTTCTACGTGAGCATTCTTTGCATAATCATTATGACATATGGAGTAACTGCACAGGGGATTGCTTGTTGGCTAAACAAGATGGAAGATTAATATTGAGCAAGACCTAAGAATTCTTATTGTAAATTATAAGCAACAGGAAAAATATGTTCTTGACTGAAAGAAGTAGGGATAAATTGAGAGAGTATCCAAGAACCATTTTGGTGTGTAGTGTCAGGGAATAGTAGTACTATTGCTTCATATAATGCATCACAATATCATTATTTTCTTTTAACCCAGTTTAATTCTAGGCATTGTCCAAAGTCTTACAGTATTAAAATAACTAGGCTAGTGAATCAGTGAACTTTGGGTTTAGGGATAGTCTTGGACCACATGATCTCCAACAGCCCTGATTTGACCTAACTAAACCTTGCATCATCTTTGCAACATAGATAGTAACTGCAGAGGGTCCTGTGAGGCTGAGTGTTTTAAAGTGCTTTGAATATGTAAACATATAGACTGCTTATGGATGTGAAAAAAAACAGCACTTTACTTTCAGCTTGGAATACTCCCATGCTGAGCACAGCACATCCCCAAAAGAGGCATCAGGTTAGTTTGACCTGGCTCACCCAACATCTGTATACGTCGGGTGCTTCACCAGGGCTTTTTGGCACTTTTATCTAATAACTGATTTTATCTAATAACTGATTGAATCAGCTATTAAATAAAAGTGACAAAAAGCCCCTCTTAACCACCCGATCTATACAGATGCTGAGGAGCTGGGTCAAACTAGTGTGTTTTCTCTTCTGGTAAAGCACTGTTTGTTTGTTTTTCACATCTGTCAGTGCCCATACGTGCTAATTTGTTCTTGGCAGTAGTATTTATCCCCTTTTTCCTGTAAGTAAACTGAGGGATGGGGGGTTATTCATTTTGTAGGAAGTTTCAGGATGTTACTGCCAGAACCAAGACTAGGACTCCTGTTTCCATGATTCTAATCTGGCCCCACTTGAGGTGCCCCCTCCTGCATATTTGCTGGACATAAGGAAGAATTTCTTTACTGTCCGAGCCCCCAAGGTCTGGAACAACCTGCCACCGGAGGTGGTTCAAGCGCCTACGTTGAACACCTTCAAGTGCAAACTGGATGCTTATCTTGCTGGGATCCTATGACCCCAGCTGACTTCCTGCCCTTTGGGCAGGAGGCTGGACTCGATGATCTTCCGAGGTCCCTTCCAGCCCTAATGTCTATGAAATCTATGAAATATTTATTAGTTCCTAGATGTTTCAAATTTTGTATATATTAACTTATATCATTGTACTTATTACCTGTAAAGGAGAAGGTGTGAATTTAACTACCAGCATTAACTATGTCTGTGGCACTCACAGTCCCCTGCAGTGGCCTCTCATAAAATAAAACTACATTTTTAATCTTGATTTTCCTCTTTTTTTCTTTAGAGCTAAACTTCTTCAGAACTAAAAATTATTATCCAGTCCTCTGAGACAGACCTCCTCCCACATTACCTTTGATTCTGAATGTTATTTGCATGCAACCTTAAACTCATGCCATAGTTTTGATTTTAGAAAGAGAAATTGACATTGTATGAGGACACATAAGCCAAAGCTCTTTGTTTCCTCTTCATTACTTAAACTTTTTTCAGTGTCCAACATCAGATCTATCCAGATGGTAATGCTGGAATAGAGGAGTGCGCAGAAAGCACACTCACCTCCACTGAGTGATGTCAGTTTGTTATATTACTGGGATGGAGGCCAGTGCAAAAGCTCAGTGCAGGCTTAGTTTCTCTGAAAGTTTACATTAATGTTCAGCTGTTTTAAATGTTAAATGTAGCAAAAAGAACAAAAATTATTAATGGCCAGTGTGCTAATTTGTTTCCATTTCTTTAACAGTGAAATTCGAAATGTTAGAAACCTAAGTTACATAGATCCAGATGCCTTTAAGAACCTCCCACTGTTAAAATACCTGTAAGTATTTGACACTTAATGCCTACAGATTGTTATCTATCTTGATGGTGCACTACTACAATGTGGTGGGGGTTTTCCCCCTTTCAGAACTGGATGGAATTTCCCCTCCCCCATATTATTTTAATACTAGATAACTAGCTAAACTAGGGCTAGGCAAGACAAGGGAAACAATTTGTTTTAGCCTGGATGTTCCAGCTTCTCAGGACCCACCTTTGGAGCAGTGGGGGTGGGTCAGGCTAGAATTAGGCTAGGACTATGAGTCCCTTCACCCCAGAAGTCCAAGCCCTCATATAAGAGGGTGATCTCTGGCACACAATTTCATAAAGTTGTTCATTTCCTATGTTTGTTTTTTACTACAGTAATTACATCAATAAGTTTGACCTGCACTTGCTAAAAGGGGTAAATGTCTGTACTTAATATTCAGGACCTCCTATAGACTTCTAGTCAATTAAATTGTGGGAGGGGAGCATTTGTAGAACTTTACAAAAGTTAGTATGCCCTTTTTAAAATTTTTATTTTTCTTCTATTGCATTTGCTTTTCTTGTCTGTTGTATACTTTTAGAATTTTCAAAGATGTTAAATCTAATTTCACAAATTATTAGACTTGACGCAGGTATTACCAGATGAAATTCTATGGGAGGTATTATGCACATGATTAAAATGGGCTCTTAATAAATCTACTGGAAAAATTAGGGAGAAAAATACAATATAATACAATATTTTATCCATTAAGTATATGAATTTATGTACAGTTTTTAAGAATGGCCTCAGACCGTTTCATCATTAGACTCAGTTTCTTGTAAGTTCCATTACAAAAATGGGTCTTTAGAAGTCTTCCTTTATCCATGGCATCTTCTAAGACATGAGGGTAACCAGAATTTAAGATTTTAATGAGGAAAAGAAAAGAAGAAAACAGACCTTATAATTCTGAGTGGAGGATTGGAATGCAGGAAAGAGGAGAAAATGAATTTCCAGGTTTGTTTTATATGTTAGGGAACAATAAACTTGGACACAAGCACAATTTTATTTCTATTGCAAGTCACTTTTAGAGTAATGCTTTCACTCTGAAGGAGACCAATAGTAAGAGAAAATAACTATTTCTGCAAAACTGAGGGAGAGTTAGACATCTGGATTCTGTCCTTTCAAAGTAATATTTTAAACAATTTTAGCAATAATGAATAGCAGAATATTATGTGTCTCTACTTAGAAATGTAAAGCAGAAAGCTACTTCAAGAAATCATGTAGTCCAACCCCCTGCTCTGAGGTATAATGAAGTATAGCATCCTAGACAGATGTTCATTTAATCTGTTCTTAAAAATCTCCAGTGAAAGAGATTTAGATAACATATTCTAGTGTTTCACGATCCTAATAGTTAGCAGAGCTTCCCTCAGATTCAACTTAAAACTGCTCAGCTGCAAAATAGTCTTATTTCTTCTTGTCCCTGCCCCTCAGGTGATCATGAAGAACAATTGTTCACTGTTTTTATACCTTATTCTTTTTCTGCCATATGGAAAACTATTTTTGTGTCCCCCACTCAATCTACCCTTTTCTAGGTTAAGTAGTGCTATGGCAAAAGATTGAAGAAATTGGGTTTATTGTTTTTTTAAAGCCTCTTATTCTTGTTGCTTTCTTTTGGATTCTATCTAATTTGTCTACATCTTGCTTAAAGCACACTATCCAAAACTGGAGAGGTAGTTCAGCTGAAGTTTCACCAGCACTGTGCACTGTAGAGTAAGTACTACTTATGTCTTACAGCCCAGCTGGAAATACATTCCAAAATGTTATTTGCCTCTTTTGCAACAGCATCCCATTGTTGACTTCTATTCAGTCTGTGATTCACTATAAAACACAGATTCTTTTCTGCTGTACTGCATTGTGCATTTGTGTAGCTGATTTCTCCTCCATAAGTGTAGCACTTTGCATTTAGCTGTATAGAATTTTATTTTATTGCCTGGAGCCATTTACATGGTTCAAGAAATAGAAGCAACAGAGGATATATTTTTCCTTCAACAGATGAAAGAAGTTTGTATGATTTAACAATATTTTCCTTTGGCTATTTTGGATAGTAAAACCACTTGTTTTAATATTTGTAATACAGAAGTCCCCTTAATAGTCCAGTTGGGCTCCAAACATATAGAGAGCCCTGAACAGCTCATACTCTGAGGACATGAGTGAGAAAGATAAGAGAAGATAGAAAGAGAGTGCATACAGAAGATATAATGAGATTAATTGCTTATTAGGGATGTCACCTAGGGATACACAAATGACAGTTACTTTAGTTGGGAAGGTTTGAAACCATTCAGTACTTTGACAGGGTAAGGATAAGGGCCTGGACTTCAAATTATCTTAAATAATGAACATGTTTGAGAGCTGTTGGATACAAGGTGGTGAAATATCCCAAACCAGCCCAAAATTTAAAAAATAAATTGTTTCATGGAAACTGGCTCCAAACACTGCAAAATACATTTGTGTTTAGTTTAAAGTAGACACATTAAATCGTATGAAAATAAACAGAAGAGTTCAGTCTCTGTATGTCAGGCTCTCTTTGCCAGATTTGCTCTCTCAAGGACTCTCTCAGACTTTAGTTTTCAGTTCAGCGTGCCCTGTGTCTTTGGAACGCAGAGCTTAGTACCTGATTCACTGTGGCATACGAATGCCTTAACGGTGGTGGATCTCCATGAGGGGGACCCTGGTCTGTCAAAGAGCCTCTACACTGGAATGCCTCTACAATAAATCCCCTTGCAAACTTGAGCATAGAGACATGTTGGGGACAGTGTTAAAGGGCTCCTGCCAGCCAGACTCCAGTACCTTTCCCTGGAGGTTCCCTCCACCAAAACCAAAATACAAAGAAAAGCTGTTTTTCTCCTTCCTTCTCCACATCCTTGTATCAGTCCATCGTAGCAGTTCATCTCAGAGAACTGGGCACTCTGTTCTCCCAGAACACATCTCTCCACCTCTTTCTCCTTTCTGTATATTCCAAACATGGCCCATCCTCTTAATTCCAGAACATATACAGTCACTCTCTGTCCCTTCTATGTGTCTGTTCTCTGTCACACTATCCCAAAGGCTTGGAAGAGCCTACTCTCTGCTTTAAGAACCTTTTCTCCCCTACCTTTTCTTCCTATCTCAACTCACAGGATATCTTCCTCTGCAAACCTGTGTAACTCTCTCATACTGCTCAAAATTCACTACCTCTTGTGGACTCTAATTCATTTAAATTCTCCTTGCTTTTCTGATCCAGTCATTCCACAGTGTTGAAGCTGAATCATGCAAAACTTCTGTTGACTTTGGTGGAAGCAAGTTTGGGTGCTTTGCCTCAAGAGAAAATCTCTGCAGTTTATATCCCTAAAATCTCATGCTGATTTGTATAGTGTTCTCCCAGCCCCATGTTTAGATAAAGTGACATAAAGTAAGTCCTTCTGGACATGTGGAGTGTCCAGGAAGTGTGGCATTCCAGGATACAGTATGGATGAGGAACTTGTGGGTTAGCTGAACAGGAATTTTTTAAAGAAAGGCAAATGATGTATATAATTTGAAGAGGCCAAGCAAGATCATTGCAGGGAAGAGAGTATGCTTATATAAATATAAGTCAAGTATAAATATGCTTGACTATGCAGGTGAAGAACATATTTAAAAAAGCAAAGGAGGAAGGAGAAGATTCATACTTAAAATTTCAGAGCTACATCACTTCAATGTGGAAAGTCACCAGCATAACTTCTCTACAACAGGCATATAAAAACTCAAGTACCAGAGATGGGGCAAAAACAAAGGGTGACAAATGAGTCTGTGACACTACAGAAAAGACTGGGAAAGTAAAATCAGATGCAGAATTACAACAAAGGGGCAAGACCACTTTCACAGTTAAAAAAATAATGATTCAGTGCAAATTTGGCAAGATGGACACTTTCCAATTAAAGCTAAAGTAATCAAAGAGCAGTCACCTCAACCATATTCTGTGATAACAGATGAAGGCCAGATCTTAAGAAGGAATTACAAACATCTGTTCAATATTCCTGACAATGAGGATGATATGAGTGAAATAAAAACAGTGGGTGCCTATAAACATGCTCGGGGAAGGAGGGACGTTTTAATTAAAGCGCTTCCCGAAGAGCTGCTCTTATTAAAACACTGCAACGTCACATGTATTAAGCCCCCATGTGTTTAAAAATGGCCACAGGCTGCTTTAACTAAAGCTCATTTGATGAGCTTTAGTTAAAGCGCCCAAGAGGCCATTTTTAAACCCACCAGAATTTATACATGTCATGCTGTGGCAACGCTTGTGCGCAGAGCAGACTTGATTACTTGAGTCTATGTATATAGGCACCCAGCGACACCAGTTGAAATCAGTTTATAAGGTGACCCAGAACCTGACCCAGAGAGTGGCCTTTCAAAGACAAACAAAGACATAGATAAAAAAGGCCTACGATATAGAAGATTTCTGAAACAGCCAAAGAGATGGATTGAGACATGTTAGTTTGAATTTGTAATTGCTGTTTTCTTAATGTTATTAGTCTAGTTAGGATTTAATAAAAAAGGAAGATGCAATATAGATGAAGTCCCTCTGGACACACAGTATCCAGGAAGTGTGGTATTCCAGGAGGCCAGCAGGAACTACCAGATAGTAAAACAGGACCAGGCCAGCCATAAGACCCTTGCAGGGGCAAGAGTAAAAACTGTTACCTTTTTACTGTAAATAGATGTATATACCCTTCTGTGTGTAATAAAGGCTTGATTCTACTTCAAAAGCCTCAAGATACCACAGATAACTTGTTTCTATGTGTGTTGAGTTTTTCCATTTAACAGTGGAGAGCTTGAAAGAGCCACCCTGCTCTGTTGAAAGCTCTGTCCATTCCATGTTTATTGCGTAGCTAAAGTTGATTTTTCTCTTATTTTTTTTTTCTTTTTGATCCCCTGTGTTAGTGGGATTTTCAACACTGGACTCAGAGTATTTCCTGACCTCACCAAAATCTATTCATCCGATGTGAACTTTTTACTGTAAGTATCTGCGCTGAAGAGTTGGTTAGAACAGCACTACACTTACATACCAAACAATCCCACAGTGGATCATCTCCCTTTTAGAGGGAGGTATCAAGTAACTGGCAAAGTGAAGTCTCTTGGAAATCTGGCAAGAGTCTCTCTCTTAGCTGGCTATCTCTGCTCATCTGCTTCCAGATCCCTAAAAAAGAAAAAGACAAGAGAATTATGGAAAACATGGAGGGGAAATGTTAACATAACACCTTCAAACCTTTTTTTTTAAAAGAAAAAATCCAGTTTAGGTTTAGCTCAGAGTCTCAGTGAAGATTTTTATGTAGGGGAAGGGCTTATTTTATCCAAACAGGTTGCTCTGCACAATTTTTGTTTTAATTTAAGGGGGAAAATAGAAGAAAGGAGTGCAAGAAGCAAACCTGAAAAACTAGGAAAGGTAGTTGAGCTTGTAAATTTCTTGTTGAGGAATTTGGTTTCATGCCCGCTGGTAGCAGCAGTCCTCAACTGCTAAGGATACCAGCTGTTCTTAACAGACCTCTTAATACTCCTGAGGGATTAGTCAAGTCGCTAAAATGAAGTGCTGTTAGGTAAACAAAACTTTCTGAGATACTGTAATTGAAAGTGCAGATCTATGCTGAAAGGTGTCTTTAGAAGTGACATAATATGTTTTCAGTTTGTTCTTTGCCAGTGGTTTCAGTTAAAATTTGCCTTTTTTTAACATAAAAATAAGTTTATCTATGTAATGGGCCTGCATACTTAATTAGGGATATCCTTTTGGTTTCCCAAGTATGAAGAAAATAATCTGCATTTGAAGTTTATCAGTTTTGTGGATGATGAAAAGGATATGCTTGCATCCATCTCCTCCTCCTGTGTCTATACCAGTCTTGAAAGCTTAACCGGAGTTTAAAATACAGCAAGTACTTACTTAGTTAATAGGCAGATTCAGGAAGAATACACCCAAGAATCTGTCTTTTCTAGAGAGTTGACCCAATTAGCTAACTCAGTATAAAAGTTATCATAGAAGACACAACTGATATTCAATGCAATTCTCAAGTAAAGACAAAATTAGGAGGATGGAATGTGTTTAGTAAAAGGATGCCACTTTTGCTTAATGACTTTCTAGATTATTTTACTTTACTAACACTTGAAAAAAAGAACAGAACATGTTAGTGCATATTTTTTCTCATTCATAGCTTTAAATGTCCATAACTTTAAGGGCTGAAAATCTTTTTTCCTCCAAAAAAAGTTTCCTCCAAATAGTTGCCTTGAATTTTAGATTTTGGTAAGGCTTATAAATGAGCTTTATTTTTTACATTTTTTCATAGCCATTTTAAAGCAGGTAAGCAACTTTTCTGATTGAGACCTCTCTAGAGGCCTTCGTGATAGACCCTATGGGGGGATGTTGAGAGAGCTGAATCTCTTCAGCCTTCACAAGAGATGGCTGAGGGGAGATCTTGTGGCCGCCTATAAATTTATTAGGGGAGGTCAACAGGGAATAGGGGAAGCACTGTTTACTAAGGCGGCCGAGGGAGTGACTAGGAATAATGGGTGTAAACTAGTTGAGAGTGGATTTAGGTTAGATATTAGGAATAAATTTTTCACAGTAAGGGTGGCCAGGATCTAGAATGGGCTTCCAAGAGAGGTGGTGCTATCACCTAGCTTGGAGGTCTTCAAGAGGAGGCTAGATAGTCACCTGGCTGGGGTCATCTGACCTCTGCCCTCTTTCTTGCCAGGGGCAGGGGGTCGGACACGATGGTCCATTGTGGTCCCTTCCGACTCTACAATCTATGAATCTATAGAGAGGGAAAATGTTTTAGATCCATGCTGAAATAACTCAAAAGCAGCTGAACTAATTTACACAAACTTTCTGAAAAGAAACATAGCTAAAATTACTTTAGGGAGTGGAAGTAGTAGCAGAATATATCACCCCAAAATGATATTTGAGACAAAATTATTAGCAGTAGAAAAAGTTTAGAATCAGTGTGATTGCAAAGATAAATGTTAGCATGTATACATGAAATAAGGGGTAATGAAACTGAACTTGCCCCAGAAGGGGCCAAGGGCTAGAGTTTCTTAGTTTTTGGAGCTCTCAATGTGGTCAGAAAAAATATCCTTATTGCATCACACCTCACTTACTAATTAAAAAGAACAGTGTTGGCAGAATCATTTGTTAGGTAGAACCCAACATGAGGAACAGGAGGGCATGAATGGAACAGCTTGCTTTCTAATTCCTCCTGAAACTGCCACCACCTATTTCCTCCCATCTTTAAACTCAGATGTAGTGGATTTGTTTCCCTTCCCTCATTCTCTGTTATCTTTCTAGCATTATAGTACTTAGGTCTGTGATAGGAGAAGCTCTGAGACAGGTCTGTGTAGAAGCTGTGGAGATGACCAGTGCAAAGGATTTGGGAAATTGATGGACTGCGGAACAACCATTTGTCCAAGTTGAATGTTTGGACTAGATGACCCAAAATATGTTCTTTTCACTTGCTAGGACTCTGTAATTAAGGATTAACAGTTAATCTTTTCCTTTGTGCTATGTGAAATTTAGATATCTCAAGAAGGCTAAAATCTGTTTGTGGGTTTTATCTCATGTTATGAGCGTATTTATAGAAGAATAGAATGTCAACTTTAAGTTAGCTTGCAATAAATTTGTTAAGATTATGATGATTTATTTTATTTAGCTATTTGCTAATGCCTTGGCTTATGAAAGTAAGTATATGGCTGTGCTGTTATCCAGTAGAATCACACAGGGTAGGCACACTTTTGCCAACAATATAAGTCCTAACTATTTTATAAAAACAATCAGCAGTAGAAGTATTAAGGGTACATATACTTTCTGGCTCACTGAAGGCACTTGATTACATTCCAAGGGCCAAAAAATTATTCAGGTACCCATAGATCTTGCTTACATATTTTGCATTTTATTGTGCTGTTTACCAGTGAACTGCTGAACAATAGAAAATGTAAGCTAGGTCTGTTCTGCTGTACAGCTGTTTTATGGTGATGTTGTCTTTTGTCTCCTTTTCCAGTGAAATTGCAGATAATCCTTTTCTGACTTCAGTGCCTGCAAATGCCTTCCATGGGCTGTGCAATGAATCCCTTACACTGTAAGTCTTTCCTTTTTAAGTCATGTGAAAGTCAGATTGCCTGTGCTTACCTAGCTAATCACTATAACTTATGAAATAACTGTTCCAGAAAAAGCACTGCAGATGCTTCCTTAGCCTGACAAAGGGTATTAAACCCGAAAGCTTGCTAAGAAAACAATTTCCAGCTATTTAAGTTGGTCTAATAAAAGTTATCAGATTCATCCAAATAACCTTGTCTTCCTCATCCATAGCAGTTTTCTTAAGAGAGCCATTGTGGTCATGCATTATCTATAGCCTGGTTTACATATTTCCTTTGCTAGTGACAGTGACTTGGGTTATGGCTGTCTTCCTCTAAAATAACTCTTTCAATAATAATTGTAATAGCAGAAATTTGAAGTTTGGCGGAAATAACATTAGGAAATGTACAATTATACAGGAAGGAACCACAGAGGGAAGAGATTGTTATGAGTACTTCCGAAATGTTGCAGCACAGCTAAGTGCTACCACCCTTTGCGGTAGTGTTGGTAGAACTCAGTTGGCTTTGTCCTTATTGTGGATACAGTTACTTTGCAAAATAATAATGACAGTCCAGGGCGAACTGCATTTGAGAATAACATGATTAATTTATATGGTACAGAGCCAGTCTGAGCCACAGAGAACAACACCTAGAGATAGGAAAACAAGGGGGTGTTGTAATGCTTTGGGACTGTTCCTAGCTGGGGAGCAGAGCACTGATCAAGATTTTGCAAATTCAGTCAGATCTTTTCTTTTCTTTTTCTTATTTTTTAAGCAAGCTATCTTTCAGTCTAGCTTAATCCTTCTATCTTTGCACAATTTTGTTCCTTTGTTCAAAAAGGAAATGTCAGGAGACTTGCTGCACTGGCTCACGAGGGTGGGTGAATTATGTGCTGCAGCCCAGCTGCTTCTCCCTTAGAGCTTTCATAGCTACTTTGTCTTTTGGAGGGAAGGCAAAAGCTAGCACATGTTCCAAGTACTGCCCTGCATTCAGTAGTCGGTAATGCTGCTGGGCATTCATTAGACCAAACATTATGCTATATGTTCAGAAGATTAAAATTACTCCATCCAGGTGTATGCTGTTGCCCTTGAAAAGATAAAACATAGGTCTTCAAGAATCTGTTTATTACAGACTAATTTAATTTCTTTCTTTGCAGCAAACTCTACAATAATGGCTTCACTAGGGTCCAAGCCCATGCTTTTAATGGAACAAAGCTGGATGCTGTGTAAGTAGCTTCAATGAATCATTCATCAATTTAGCCACATGGAGGGAGCATAAAATTCTCAGCATATCTTCAATTTTTGTCTTTTTGACTGACATATGACAGAAGCCTGAAAGAATAAAAACAGGAGATTACAGTATGTGAAGCTCAAAACTGTGCCAGGGATATCAAACTGGATAAAGAGAAGTAGTTGGCTATGTTAATCGGAAGTCAGGAACAAGGCAGGGTAAATTTGCACCGTATAGACCAGGGCAGGCAATTATTTTGCCTCGAGAGCTGCTTAACTAGTTTTGGTGAACTGTCAAGAGCTGCAAGGGTAGCCCTGCCCCTTGACAGGTGCCTTGCCCCCTGGTCACCACCTTGGGACTGGAAGTCCCACCCCCTGACCTTGGCCACTGGAAGTCTCTCCCCTTGCCCCCAGAAGTACTCCTTTTGGGAAGGGGTTTTGCCATCTTGGAAATGGAAAAAAAAAACCCTATATACTAAAAGTCAAACATTGACAATAGCATATTTTAATTTTATTTTAAAAAATATTTTTGTCCTGATTTGTGTGTTTTTTGTTGTATATATAGAGGCGATTCCATAATAATTCAAAATGAAGTCTTACTCTTGTATATTGTGGTGGGGTGTGGAGGGGTAAAGGTGGGTGGGTATGGGGTTTGTGGGGGGTTGTAGGTGTGTGTGTGTGTGTGTGTGTCTGTGTGTGTAGATATATGTGTATGTGGGTTGTGGGGGTATGTAGATGTGGGTGGGTGGATATGAGGGGTTTGTGGGGAGGTGTGTTTGTGGGGGGGTGTGGATATGGGGTTTGTGGGGTTTGTGGAGGGGGAGTGTGGGGGGGGGGTGGTGGGGTGGGCTGGGGGGGGTGTGGGTACATGTGTGTGTGGTGGGGTGTGTGAGTATAGCAGCGCACAGGGCTTCCTCCAGAGGCATGCAGGTGTGTGTATAGGGGAGGATGTGGGTGGGTGTGTTGTTTGTGGGGTGTGTGACTGTGTGGGGGAAGGTGTGGTTGTGGAGTTTGCAGGTATGGTGGGATGTGCATGGGAGCCCCCTACACATGCCCCCCTGAGCCGTTCAGCCCCTGCCCTGCAACACTCCAGAGCCATGCCACTGCCAACAGTGCGCAACC